GTGATGTTATCATAACTAAATTAATGTCATTGCTGAATTTATGAAATAAGTTTCCATATGTGAAATAAAAAATAATCGAAAATAATGAATTTGGGACGGAGGGGGGGAGGGGACGGAGGGGGGGAGCAATATGTATATAAGACATGATTAGAGATGTTTCGCGACTTTAAGTCCTTTTACTCCAAATGTCCTCATTTTTCAGTCTCCAGGGGTATATCATCCAGTTTCTTACTAAGTTAATGAGTTCATTTTTCAAATACAAGAATTCGTGTGAAGTTGTTTCACTTTATAGAATTATTACTCCCCCCCCCCCTCCGTCCCCTCCCCCCTCCGTCCCATTATAATTATTTTCGATCATTTTTTATTTTACGTATGGAAACTTATTTTATAAATTCAGCAATGACATTAATTTAGTTATGATAAAATCACTTACAAGTATTTATTACAGGTCGTGTAGTCCATTGTTGCTTGATTTATAGCAAAAACGTTGATTTGTGCCTGTTGATAGCCTTGCGCCTTTTTTAATAGATCTCATACCTTAGATGCGTATCGTTTGAGAAAAAATCCCAGAAAACCTAACATATTCTACCATACCGTGCGCCTATCCATTTAGCAATTCAATAGTAAACTTTTTCTTGAAAAAATAAATCTTTCAGATTTGTTGAATTTCCTAGCAGAAATTGCCTGCTCCCCCCCCCCTCCGTCCCATATTCACGATCACCGGGCGTGAAATAGTATCTTGTTAATGAAATCTATCTAAATCAAAGCTTCTTGCATTAACCCTAATGCAGTGGTTTCAGTAACTTTGTGTACAAGAGGCAGATGAAAAATACAAGAGGCGGCATTCAAATTAACCAATTTTACGCTCACGACAATGCAAATTCTTGTTACTGTGTTATTTTAGAGTCCATGGACTGAAAGAAAGATGTCCAAGGTTTGTCAAAGTCATTTCCACGTGTGATGTGGCAAGACATGGGCTCCACAAAATAGCGCCTGGAACTGTGGAATGACTAGGGCAACTTATATAGAATGCCATTTACCTTTTATAAAATAACTTACCCTTACACAGGTTGCATTTCACAAATCCAAATGCACCTGTTGAATTGAACACTTTTGATATAAATCAAAATCTAGAATTGTCATTATTTTATACACCAATTGTCTTCAAAATTTTACATAATGTACATTCATGTTTTGTAACTAAAATTGCCGAATTACATGATTTTTGTCGAAACTGATTTAGAAATCGGCCGATGACCATTCATCGGCCAGCGCCCGGTGCATATGTGGCCTAGGCATTAGAGAGAGACCGAGGTGGGAGATATCCCCCTCCGATCTACACCAAACTTGTTCTCACTACGCTTTCGAAAATTGCCTGAAAGGCCTCCTCACACATTATTAAGGAAAACATATCTACACATTTTGCGCATTTAACCATTTGATAACATATTGTGGATCTTATCTTAATTTGTTAATGTGAATTCGCACCTTCATTTACATGGAAGACTTTGATAAAATCCTTTTTTGATGATCTTTGCTATAATGCTGATGTTTGGCTAAGCTTCGAAATTCCAAATTGAACAGTCTACTAAGGATACCATGTTGTAAATATTGTTTTCTTTATAATATATTGAGCTAGGACTGCTCAAACAAATTCGCTTTTTGTAGCTACAAGTATTCAATTTCAATAGATGATAAACTTCTCAATATAAGAAATTACCCTCATAAGACATTGTTGCAAGGTGTGTTGCAATTTATGTGACACCCCGCATTCTCGGGCCCGCATTTTGTATTCTCGAAGAAAGCCATCATGATAAACCATGACATCTCATTTCTTCTAAGCCCTGTGTTTCAGGTGAAACAGAAAGATGCTATGAGTATCAGAATGGACGAAAGCATATATTTGCATTGATGGTGTATAGATAGTTACTTTATATAGTGTTTTTAGTTGTACGTGGAAACCTATTCTAACCAGGAAGGATATTGCAACTTTTTTCAAGATCCTAAAGTTGCAATTTTCGTTATTGTGTTTCATTGTAAAGAAGCACCCGTGAAAGTGTGTCGCTGATATAAAGGCGTATAGTTCTAAATGAATCTAAGATACACGTTTTTTTAACTTGTACCTGAACGTGTAGAATTATGGACCTGATGGATTTTTTCTCCCTTTTGTACTGTTAATACTTGGCCGGTTGAGTATATAAAGGTATACATGTCCCAGCTTTTGGTAAGTGGGGGGTCAAACCTCCCCCTCCCCATCCACACATACACCTTTTATCATGCTTTAGTAACTTCGCATTGTAATTACAAGTCCACCCGTGTAGCTCTGCGGTAGCGCATGTACCTCTTACGCAATAGGTCCCGGATTCGATCCCCGGTTCAGGCAAGACTAAATTTGCTTGTCTGCGTGAAGTACTCCAGGGTGTTTGACTGAGTGGCCCGCAACTCGTACAAAAAGGCTGTGGTGTGTACTTGTATGTCTATGTATAAGTGCACATAAAAGAACACAGGGCTCCTTCAAGGAGGGGTTTCTGGGTCTATCTTCCAGGTTAATTACGTAAATTACGACCGTATAATATGTACGGGATATACCCAAGAGGTATTGCTCACCTTCATTGGTGGTAAACAAAATACAATACAAGGGTGTTCTAAACTAGACACCAGGATGATAAGGTAGGGGTACAATATAGGGCCCAAATCTTGAGAAAGAGTCGTAGGCATGCCAGGCGAATCCTGGAGACTCGGGTTCGGGAAAGCGGGGCCCAAATCTTGAGAAAGAGTCGAAGGCATGCGAGGCGAATCCTGGAAACTCGGGTTCGGGAAAGCGGGGTTCACTGTTTGGTTCCGTAGACACCTGTGCGAAACTACATTCATAATTTATCCGACAGTCGCTTTGATAAAGAAGAATTATCAAAGCTCATCAAGAATGGACGATCTTGCACAGGTTCTCATATAAGAACCTCTATATCTTTATAACACCAATATAAAGATTGAAAAACGGACACACTATGTTAAAAATAAAATGTTATATCTAATGTGCCAATTCAATGATTTAGCATATCGAAAATATGTTCAACCTAAGTGACCACATCGTGACATCACTTAGGTGGCAACATTTTTCAATGTCAATCTTTTCTTAATATGCTAAACTTAAAAGATAAACCAATTTTGACTGTCTTACCAGGTTAAAAGGATGAATATATTATCTTTTTAATATTATTTTACCATTGGTTTCTATGAGAATTAAAATTTTGAAATGCATCTTTCCCTGAACCACTTTCATGCATGGATGAGTTCATTGCTCGCTCATCTATCAACCAATTTTCTTGATTTTGTCGGCAAAAAAACAAGTGAGGATGATTGCTATGCATCGGTGTGAATTATCACTTCAAAGGATATGTGTGACCTCTTAAAGCTAGTTTTGAATAAATTCACGATATTTTGAACAAAAAGTCCTTCAAAAACATTTTTGAAATTATTGAAAAGTTTCACATTTCACACTTTGATAACATTGGATAAGACAACAATATAAGCCAAAGTGGTTTAAACTTTATATGGGGCCTTTAACTGATTAACACAATTTTACACCCACTGGAAAGACTATTTGACTTCTAACAAACGGCGGATTATCGAAAACAAACGGCGATTTTGGACACTCGCCCCCTGCAATTGAAAGCCCAGTAATGTGTACAGGGGAGGCATGTACTTCTCTGCCATGACATTTTTTCGTAATCCTAGTGGCTATACATATAAAAGAACAATTTTGGTGAAAAATCGACATGATTTGGGTACAATGGTTGAGTTAGGATGGTGGGAACTTTGGATTCTTTTCGGAAATTGCTTGAAAATCACATCATCTCTGGCCATATTACAAGGTAATCGGACTTTTATTCTCTGAGATACAATGTTTTCAATTTTATATTGTGGTCCGCGACTCGCGTTTCGATCCAAATAATTTGAGTAAAAAATGATTTTTCAAAAAGTGCTGGTAACACGAGCACTTTACTTGTATATCAATGACATTTTTTGAGAGTCTCCCCTACCCCAAGATTTTTCCATTTCGATGCTATTTTTAGTCATTATTCCGTCTAAATATGTGTAATTTACAAACTTGAGAATGTATATGGATCAAAATGTTACAGAATTATTTATTAGTAACTAATAGGCCGAGATATATTAAACCCTTAATTTTCTCAGCTTATACTCAACCAATGTCCACAATTTACACTATATTACAGCCAGGAGTATGTAATTTAAAAGAATTATTATATACTCAGTATTTCAGGTCCTGGACTGTGTTTTGTCTCCCCTTCATGGCATTTTATTTGCTTCTTTATTCATTAAATTCAAATATATTCGATATATGGAATATTTATATTCGCTAAATCAATTTTCTATTCGGTAAAAACATTTATATATTTGTAACAGCAAATCAAGTTCTCAAAATAGCCAATGGATTAAATCTCTTGGTCTACATTAAATTACATATTTTATTCACTAAATGATATATTTCTTGCGTAAATTGTTATGGTATTCCTTGTTTTCCTTATATCCGCAATATCGAATTTCTATTTGAACCTTGTCGATATTAGTTTGTCTATATTTACCAAATGATTTATTTTTCTATGGCATAGTTAATGCAAAATGTTTTGCAAAATGATCGCACATCTATTTTACATGGCTTTCATTCTCACGACGTGATTGAAAGTCTCGCAAAGTAACGAAAAATAACGAAATTTATCGAATATGGCATTCGATATTATCGAATATGAATTCAAATACCGAAAGTATACGTGCGTTAAGGAAAACAAATTGATTCGCTGCATCGCACAAATACATGTATAAATATCAAATGTAAATCCCAACACAAAGACAAGTGAAACTATTTAGGAAATATAAACTGTATAGATTATTATATTCGATAAAATAAAAAGAACATTCGATAGATGGGGTAAAGGTCTGGTAAATTGCTTGTTTTATTTGGTATGTATTTTTTACTGTACCTCTGTACCTCTGACCCCCATAAGGGACAAAACAAGATCATTTTAAAACCACTTTATTATTGAAAGATTGTAACCGTGAATTCTGATTTGGTCTTAAAATGTACTTAATGTACAGGGGTGAAGGTAGTAACATACGGTGACACAAATAATCGTCGGAATCAGAGTCCTCTTTTATGACAGAGTTAACGAACTCATCTGAAAGACCTAAGCTTTCTGATGTGTACTTGCATCTCTTATGAAAACTATCAAGCAATGCATCAAATTTTCCCAATCTTTCTTCAAATCTCCTTCCCATTGCTTTAATTTTCCTCCAAAGGGTTTTGTTAAAGAATTCAAACATTGCATAATCGACTTTACTATAGATTCTATAGTTTCTTTCTGCAAGCGCTCTGTTTGTAGTGTGATCGAAACTAGTTGTTGAAAGTGATCCCAGTTTACCATCAGCCGCTACTTTCTGGGATACATATAACATATCGTCCAATGTCCAACAGAGGAGCTCGCCTAGCAGTACTATCGATTCCTTCATATGGTCAGTTATCAGAATCAAATTAAACATAGAATCGACATGTAAAATAAATTCTTCTATTTCTTGAGATGTTGAAATTTTATTCAAATGTCCATAATATGAACTTTGCTGGTTTTTAGGTATTCTGACATATTGATATTTCCAGGGATTTTCTTCAAAATCAGCCAAAGAAACGATTGTCCCATTTTTCATGATGCCCTTTTTCGCAAAATTGTAAAGTGACTTGAGCTGTTCAAGTGGGTTGCGTAGAACTCCGATATATACAGTGCCTCTCGGCATTAATTTCCTCATGTCATTTTCAATAAATTGCACATGATTTACAATCAAGTTGACATCATCACCAATGTGATCCCTAATATCTCTAGGTTTAATGAGAACATCCCCAAATTTTGGAAATAGGAATCTTAGACTATGTTTTTCACCATATCGCTGAAATACATTTGTTATTGTCGAGCCACCGCATTTTGGAACTTTGATAAAGACAATATTTCTAGCTGGTGTACACGTTCCTCTTATTGATGTTGATCCAAAATAATCATTTTCATAATGCTTAGACCTACCTTCACTGGGAACTTTATCAAAGTAGGATCCAAAAAGATATACGAAAAGACATGTTGCACTCAGAAGTAGAATGCTACAAATGGAAGTCCATTTAGCCATTTTTATTTCACGATATATCCTTCTGTTATTAATAAATATACATATCCTTAAGATGATAAATAAATCCAAACGTTTTGCATTCAGATGTCTCTAAATACGTTGTTGCTATCTTGTTACACTGTACTGTTCGTAAGATTATGAGCCTGGATATTTCTTATTGAGCTGAAGGGCTGGCCCGGTTGAAGAAATCCATCTTATCAATATTACATGTTTTACAGTATTTTGCGATATTCGTTAGGCTTAATGAACGTCAGCTGGACTGGCAATTCCCTTCTTTTGTTGTCCTTAATTGTATCCTCAAATCACAGATTTTTTAAATGTGGCTATTGATTTTTAATTTAATTAAGCGTCATTTTTAAATGGTGTAAATAATTCCTTTGTTATCGGTGATAAAAAAGTATTGTAGATTTGTGTATGAAGGTAAAATTTCTAGCAAACTTATTCCAGGGTGGAGAATCAAGTCGAAGACACGGCCGCGGACTGCGACTCCGTAACTTTTCACCGCAGCATAGCGCCAAATTAAAGTGGAGGAATATTCGGTGATCCCTTACATGTCGATGGACAAATCTGTGAAATCAAGACACTTCAAATGCTATAGTTTTGGTGTCTGTTTAGTTACGAAGAGATTACTCTGTATCCATTGTTCATACATGTATCTTGGAAAGAAATAAACAGTTGTCGAGATTAAGTTGCGGCACTGTGAAAAAAGCCAAATATAGTTTGTTCTATAGCAAACTATTTTTTAGAATATCCCCCATATAGTTCGAGTTTCACCTAAAATATGGGCGAGAATAGTTTCTACCATATTCCTAAAAACGGAACACTTTTATATAAGTCCTGATATACTCTCCGGTACGCCCATATAAACTGAAATAAGTTGCATATATCATTGCAGAGTGTATATCTTTACTGAACTATTTTCCACTTATACGCCTCAAAGTAGCAATCAAACCTACTATATGCGGTGAAGAACAACTTATATTAAATAAAAACAGACTATATCAAACTATACTTGACTTATTCTTCTCTTATTCTACCTCAAAACAAACTATACGCGTCTTATACGCGATATTACGTAATAGCTTCAGTTCCCGAGTTTAACAGATTAAAAGCGAAGTCCAGCATTGAATGTATTTTGTTTTCAATGCTAATTAATTCGCTTGTTCAAATTAATCCGGTCATTTCTACAACTGAGGGTTCTAATTTCCATCAAAAAGTCATTTATAAATTAAGCTTTTTACTTTTACTAAATTGGACAATGACAGTCGAATTATAATTAACACCGTGTTAAATTTTGGATTAATTTCATTAAGTCTGTGGAAAGTTACATTTTTCAATTCAATTACTTGGTATTGAAGTAAAAATAATATAGAATAAAATGTTTAATAGTTGCAATAAGAGGGAATCGTAGAAAATATTTTTTCCTGTGTAGTAGGTAGTTATTTCCTGTATTATAGCGAAATAATATATAATAACTATTTTTAAAAATTAATTTTTTTAAATAACATATTACATATTTATTTGATTGTATAATGTTCCTCGAGTTATGATTAAGATTGTGTTAAATTTGGGATTCAATCGATCAATCCATTGGAAAGTTAATTTTTTATTCTTAATTAATGAGTTTTCCTCACATTTTTACTATATTGTTTTTCTGTCACATCAGGTTTACAACAAACAACATTTAAATCCCCCTCTTATATTACACAGGCACAACCACCTGTATTCACTTTGTCAGCCACAAAAAAACAGTCTTGACACAGAAATGCTCAATATTGAGCTATACATTACGCATTTTATACAGGCCCGTACCTAGCGACCCCCTCCCCTTGGCCAACAATTCTTTCAAGATCATGCAGTTTTTCACCATCTCGTATTGACATGTCAGAGCAATATAAATAAAACTTTAATCCCCAAGTATTTAATTTTTATGACATGATTTTGTTCACTGATAACTAATCTGTTTGTTATGAGTTGAACGATTAATATCTACAGCCATTCTACAGAAAAATAGTTTGCAAATTGAGTTTTTCTTACTTATTTGATTCTTTAGTGTCCCTCTTGCTATGATTAATATTGTGTTAAAATTTGGAATTAATTGATTAACTCATTGAAAAGTTAATTTTTGGATTTTTTGATGAATGACTTTTCTTCACTTTTAATCCAAAGTTATTACCCAAATGTTTTGCCAGGGGCACCCTTTGAATTTAAAGGTGATCAATGTGACCCATTATCCATATGTTTACTCTACATCGGAATGGAACACTTGATGATCCAGTCAAATTCAAGTGTTTATTCTTAGATCTTTATAAAAGAGACAAATGAGACTTCTAGATCATGATACGCTTTACTTCATTTTAATTTCAACTACAGCTAAATAGTGATGATTGGTGGTAAGAAAAAAAAAACTCCAAAGTAATACGCGCTAATTTTAATCAAAACGGGAAATAAAGGATGTTCCGATTTAATGTTCATTTTTATATATCTCTGATTAAAATCATACACTTCAACATCATGAAAGTTTCAATTATTATGATTCTATTCTAACCTACACTTAAGAAACATAACATTAACTAGCATGTGGCTCTGCGGCTGCGTGCTGCAGAAAAACCGAGTGTATTATTTGTACAATAATGTTATCGTATATACATGCTGGTTGTCAAAATGTGGCTCTACGGCTGCGTCGCCGCTGGAAAATATACAAAAATGTTTATAATGGACGATTGATTAGCTCAATAATGTAGTAAAAACATATCTCATTTTCAAAATTAAAAACTTTCCGACCACATGTAAAACCCTTTCTATCTTTAGCATCACAGACTCATTAATGCCCATTATTATTCTGTTGAGAACATGATGCTAAAAATCTTTGAAATCCTCAACAATTGAGGTTAAAGGAAAAGGGTTTGTCCGAAAAATTTTCATTACATTTTAATACATTTATTATCATATTATTAATTATTATCGTATTATCATCTATTATGTTCATAGTACATCCTTACAGTGAAAGGTTAAACTTGCCTCATGAGTATGTTTCAATTTGAGACACAGTATGTGATGTGCTGTAAGTTCATCAGTATATTAAAAAGTTCAATTTGGCGCATCAGTATAGTTCAAGTTGGCGCGTTATTTATGATGTTCATAATGCGCCAAATTGAACTATGCTAACATGCCAAATTGAACTTTTTAATATACTATTGAACTGAGAGTACATCACATACTATATCCCAAATTGAAACATATTCATGAGCCAAGTTTGACGTTTCAGTATATAATGATGCACTTTAAAGGGTTCTGATAAGCTTCCCGTATAAAAACAATATGGCGGCTCCTGGATCAGTCCATTTTTAAGAAATAAGGGGAGTTCTGTAAAATCCAGTTTAAATTGTCTTTGAGATAAAGTAATCCGTTTATAATGATTTTGAAAACATTATCCATAGAGTGATTGCGTTCAAAGAATATGTACAACAGCCAATATAAATCCTTGTATTAGAACTGCTTTGTTTCATTTGTAGGATATTTCATATGCCAAGCTGTGTGCTATTACGTTATGGGGAAATTTAGATGTCAATTTTTCCTTATTATACACAAATAGAAGATCCTGAAATTTCACCCATAAATGTGGAATTGATTTGTCAAAAAATCACCCTTTTATAAATGTGTGACGATCTATAATATACTTATGCTATATAACAGTTAGAGGTGTTGACACAACGACCTCGAGCCTGTGAACCCTTGAGTATTATTCCGGGATCGGGCCTTTTATACTAAACGGTGAGCAACACCAGAAACGAGCGTTCGATTTGCTAAACGATATTGCGTCACCCTTTAAACATCATAAATAACGGGCCAAATTGAACTATACTAATGCATTAAATTGAACTTTTTAATACATTGATGAACTTAGAGCAGATCACATAAGATGTCCCAAAATGAAACATACTCATGAGCCAAGTTTAAATTTTCAATACTTGTAATGATGTACTGAGTTAGTTCAGTTCAAGTTAGTTCAATTTGGCGCATTATTTATTATGTTCAAAGTTCATCCTTGTATTGAAAGGGTAAACTTGGCTCATGAGTATGTTTCAATTTGGGAAATAGTCTGTGACATGCTGTAAGTTCATCAGTATATCAAAAGGTTCAATTTGGCGCATTGGTATAGTTCAATTTGGTGCGTTATTATTATATTGAAAGGTTAAACTTGGCTCATGAGTATGTTTCAATTTGGGACATAGTATGTGATGTGCTCCAAGTACATCAGTATATTAAAAAGTTCAATTTGGCGCATTAGTATAGTTCAATTTGGCGCGTTATTTATTATGTTCAAAGTTCATCCTTGTATTGAAAGGTTAAACTTGGCTCATGAGTATGTTTCAATTTGGGAAATAGTCTGTGACATGCTCTAAGTTCATCATTATATTAAAAAGTTCAATTTGGCGCTTTGGTATAGTTCAATTTGGTGCGTTATTTATGATGTTCAAAATACATCATTATATTGAAAGGTTAAACTTGGCTCATGAGTATGTTTCAATTTGGGACATAGTATGCAAGTTAGGTGTAAAAATCCACATGCGAATGAGCTAACTATCACCTTTAATTAACGATTAATTTTCACCTTAATAAACATTTAATTATCATCATTATGCAAATGAGCTAAACAACGGTCAATGTTTCTGTTTTTTCTAGATTAAGTTTTTGTATGTGATGTGCTCCAAGTACATCAGTATATTGAAAAGTTCAATTTGGCGCATTAGTATAGTTCAATTTGGCGCGTTATTTATTATATTCAAAGTACATCCTTACATTGAAAGGTTAAACTTGGCTTATGAGTATGTTTCAATTTGGGACATAGTATGTGATGTGCTCCAAGTACATCAGTATATTAAAAAATTTAATTTTTCGCATTATCATAGTTCAATTTGGCGCATTATTTATGATGTTCAAAGTACATCCTTACATTGAAAGGTTAAACTTAGCTCATGAGTATGTTTTAATGGGACATAGTATATGATGTGCTCCAAGTTCATCAGTATATCAAAAAGTTAAATTTTGCACATTA